TGTTACTAATATATATTGGTAAAATATATTTTGATGCACTCTTAGCAAGCTAAATTGTGAGACCAAGACATGTTTCCATGTTCTTACGTTCAGAGGCATTTAAATATATATATTTACAGCTCCCCAAATGCTGATACTGATGTGTATCATTGAAAGATAATTTGCAATAAATGCCATTATAAAGCTACACAACAAAGACTTACACAAGTCTGCCTTTTCTGTTTTATATTTCTAATCTAAAGCAGTCTTTTGCATCCTAAAGTGTATTTCCCTATTAAGAAAATTACATAATTTTTTAAAAAAGAAAATAAAGTTTGCATCAGTAAAATTATCTTCTATTTTGTCCTATTTTATTTTATAAGGCTGTGATCACAGGTCACTTAGTGATCACTAAGTGAACAGATTAACCTCCTGTTATTTGAATCTAAGGTACAAAGTAAGTGTCATTGTATTTACCACAGAAGTATCAGACACTACATTTTTCATAATGATGTAGAGTGTTGATATGCATGTTAATCCCTTGAGCTCATTAGCTACAGGTATGGGAGGATGGACATTGATAAATAGTTGCTATTCTGAAGAGAATTACTCATTATTTTCTCTCATTGTCTTCATTAGAGTTCCTGGGGATCTACATTATGAAGAATGAAAGGAAAAATCACTTCTCATTTCTTCAGGAACAGGCCTTGTGTTTCATGAAAGAGTTGCAATTTATAATTAAAAGTCAGAAAGATTCAAGATGTGTATTTTCAGAAATTTATGATTGAAGCGCTAATATTCAGCCATCATTCACCAGAAGTAATCCTCTTTTTGTATGCACCATTATATTCTCATTTTTTATGACTGGTAGAGATATGTAATCACAAAAAATTGCAACATCAATTCTGTGACTTTTCTGTTGAAAGACGACATGCTGTTAGTGTTCAGACCGCAGGTTTGGCAGACAAGGTAGCTATCATCAGTGCATACTTGTGGATGGTTTTTATCTCTAAAAGACAATTTTTGGTGAACAAACACAAGGTGGAACGGATATGAAACAAAAGGGCTATGGCTTATTCTGGATCAGTAAGGAGTAAACCACTGAAGCACCATCTCTCAGAAGTATACAAAAATTCTTTTTTTTTTTTTAAATCTCATTGTGTAAAATTGGGAGTGAATGGCTCTTCTGTGCACTACTTTAACCTTCATGCTTCTTCAGAAATTGAAATGATACAGTTAACTAAAATAAGAAATTTTGGGGGAGCAGGCTGTACAGCAAATAAAGTGAAGGGAGGTGAGAGCAAGCACTGGCCCTGTTTGGGCATCTCTGCTGGAAGCCTCATAGCAGGTCTGCAACTGCAGCTGCTGTTTATCTTTTCGGAAATTAATTTGCCTATGCAGAAGTGGAGAAGAGAGGATAAGGATTGATAAATATCCCAAGAAAATTGACTTAAAGGAAATGAAATTGTCAGTTTACATCTCTGGTGCTCACCCAGAGAGCAGTAAGATAGAAAAGTATTTTTAGACTAATTCAAACCTTTGCTTTTTTATCTGAAAGAACAAAGGGAACACATTGAAGGGAGCGCAGCACCACAGTTGATTTTGCCAGAAACAAACTTACCTACCACAAAGACCCTGCAAATGAATCCAGGAAAATGCCACATCATGTATCTGCTCCGCATTTGCTGCCACTGAGGCTGAGATAAGTTGTACCTCCTTCAAGGTATTGCAATATAAGTGCTTCAAAAATGACCTCATTTTTCAAAAGTTTTATTGTTAAGTTTGAAGACTAGACAAGGTCATACTGGTTTTACATCGTTCTACATGATTTAAGTATATACAAAACCATTTGAATATTACACAGCTTGAAAGGTTGCAAAGGTCATTGTGTCCAAGATACTTCTGTACTTACTGACACATCAGAAGCCAGCACTGAATATTATAGTTCATATTTGTTGTATAGCAAAGATACACTCATTTAGTATCCTTAGTCTTCAAAAGTGACACTAATGTGTATGCAGCCATTCCAAAAGAGAAAGTCAACCTCAAAACCAGAGCCAGTTAACGTGATAAGCCCTTAACAGAACACAGATAAAACAGAGCCTCGTGCCAGTGCTTTATTTCCTAGGCTATAAAAGTAGCACGTTACAGAGCTACAGGAAGGTGAAGTCTGCCTACAAATACTTAACTGGTTCAGGGTGAAATTTAATTAGGAGAACATTTTTTGTCTTGTTCAATGCCATTGTTACAACTAATACAGAAGTCAAGGAACGTTTCAGAGTGTTTCTCCATCCCGTGTTAAAGGGACATATCCTGTCCTGCACTTCTGGTTTTGGGATGCCAGTTGCTTTCACTGGGAGAATACAGTTGTGTTAATTTATAACTTGTCCCATATGTCAATGGTGTTAACCAAAACAAGAAAATAAAATTTAAGGGAAAAAGTTTAATTCCAGACTATAATCTGATTCTCATCTGTTTTGTTAAATCTGAAGTATTTCACAGAAATCAGGAGTTATTTTAGACTTATACTGCTGACACTGGGAGCAGAATTTGGTACTATGGCTGCACGATGCCATATAAAGAAAGATTCTTGGTAGCTAAGGAATAATTTCATTAGAAAAAGCCCCAGTATGTTGGCTGAAATTGTAAGGGCATCACATACATGATTCTTTTACAAATTATTACAGAGTGTTATCACAACGTATGGAGCTTTCTTTGCAGGTTGTGAAGACTGCTGGCAGATGAAAGCTGACACAGGACATAAGGATGAAAATACTCAACTCTAAATTAATAGAAAATAAAATTACTATGTAAGGTATCAAGGCAACACTATTTTTATATGCAGATGGATGGATAACAATTAATTACTAAACCAAGAACTATTAATTCAAAACCAAAACTGAAGTTGCAAAAGATGAGTAACAGGAAAAAAATCACTTAAGAACACCAAACAAATATTTCCAAAGAACATTAAAACCAGTTGGTAAACTAGGGAGCCTAATTTTCTGAAATGGCCTTCCATTTTTTGGGTACAGTCAACTAGTGAAATAGCTACATGCTATTTTTCATATATATAATTAAGTTCAGGGTCAATTGCTCTTCCACAATAGGAAAGCGGGTTTGGACCTCTTTAAATATTGTGTGTGCCCTAAAGATATAACTATTACTTCTTTCTTTTTTTTTTTTGTAGAGCCTGAAGTGCAAAACATGGGCAGTAGGTAATTTAGGAATACCATTGTCCTCCATTATTCAGATTTTATTTTGCTCTTTAGAAGTACCATCATGATTGACTTTCTCTTTAAAATCGCTCACCATGCTTGAAGACCACTCCATATATACATCATTAAGGAATGCTGTTAACACAGTTACAGACAAGACAGTAACAGTCTAGTGGCTTTTGTTATGCAGCACAAAGTAAAAAATAAAGAACAACTTAGCAGTGTTGCACAGGACCTCAACATTTCTTACACATACTTTTACCTTTACAGGACTCTTCTTTAGAAGTCTTTAAATGTCTAAGCCTTATAAAATAAATAATTGTATAAATACAGTTTAAGGATCATTTTATAGAGGCAGGGTGTTCTGTTTGTTAAAACGTGACAGTTTAAGTGACACTATCAGAAAACCGCCACCAATATATCCCCAATTCTTGTATGTAAAATTCCTGGCTGCTATTCTAGAGTCTTTCACAGTTCAATGGATAATATATTTTGTCTGTGGTGGAGAATGTGTGATTAAATGCAGGTTTTTGAAATCCAAACCATTTTGTTTCCAAAATAAACTTTGCCCTTTGCAGACTGTGGGCCAACTAGCTGTTTGCCTAGGAGGCAGTGCCCAGGTTCATACTTCAGCGTTTCAGTGAGAATGTAATGGTGACAAAAAATAATTTCAGTGACATTTGCTAAAGCATGCAGCTGTCTCTCTCTCTCTCTCTCTTCACATTAGCATGTTATGAAATTAAAAGGGTGGCAGTAATCCCAAATGCTGTTATTTCAGGTAACAGAAAAAATGTTCCCTCGCTCCTTGTCCCAGGAATTTTTTTAGACTTAGGTGCTACGCTAACATAATCATAGAGCACTTCATTCCAAGGAAACTCGGAGTGCTCTACTCTGATACTCGGAGGTATCATTATCTTCATCATCAGGGGAAACTGAGGCACTGGGGAGAATGTCACCCCTACTGCTCCACTTTTCCTCCCCAAACCTACTTTTTAAACTGGGGGCCACGCTGGCTATCATGTGGTTAAAATGACATAGTGTGTACGAAGCATTTCTGTAGATGAGTCATGATAAAAGTCAGCCTCCTCGTGGCTCACTGGCGTATGTCTGCAAAGACATAGTTGGGAATGGGGGGTGTCGAGGGCCTGGGTTTGATGCACCCCTGCAACACCTCTTGCCTAAACGCCTGGGAGGAAGGCTGTGACCACCACCATAAGAAGAGTCTACCAAGAGGGTTTCCTGGCAGTAAGGGAGTCATTCCTCCTGTGTGTCTTTTAGCACCCAATTCCTTCACCCCGATTTGCCTCCTCACAGGAATTAAGGAGGTTTCTGAAAGAAGTAACTGGGCAGGCAGCTCCATCTAGGGTTGTGTGCTCACCTCTGGGCAAGTCACGAAATGGGCTCAGGATTTCTGATGCACTGTGTGCCTTTACCTATGTGTGTACTTAAGATGAGATACCACACATACCCTGGCATCTCATCTCAGCCTCCTTGAAAAAGCGCATCTCAAGCAGAATTAGTAAACTTTGGCAAATTCATTAACTTCATAGTACACTCATAGCAGATTTTGTTCCATATGCAAATGGGTCACCTCTTTCAAGGAAAATAACATTAGTGGTGATACTAAACAGAAAAGATGGAGGTCATGTCTATAGCATGCAAAACAGAGAGGGAAAATGGGGTTAGTTAGGAAAACCCTTTAGGTGCGTGGACTCTGCTGTTCAGATGAAAGTGATGAAAGGTAGCTTGCAATATCGCAGGTACCGCGTTTTACAGTACCACAGAGTATCTTCCAAAATATATGTCATAAATACTGACAGTGTTTGATAGGCACAATTACTATAATGCAGTCATCCCCAAGTAAACTTATTGCTAAAAGCTGCAGTATCACTTTTTGCAAGTAAGATGACAGTATGATTTATGGAGAACTTGTCAGCCCAATGTTTCTAAAGCTGCAAATGAGCTTTGTCATGCTATTTCTCTTCCCTTGTAAAAAGGATGCTGCTGTTTTTTCCCTAACATGTTTCAACTAGTGTGAACAACTCAAAGAAAAACTAGAAAGATAATTCCACAGCAGAAGGGACAACACTAACAGATTTCAAGGACAAAATCGGATTGGATCATTTAAAGGGCAGGCTTAGACCTCCTTGCGAAAGACAGTTAGCGGCCTACCATAAAATGAGCACTTGTTCATGAAAACCCCACTCAGCATCCTACAGGCTTTGCACAGTTTCTTCTACGGAGGGACTTGTAGCTACACTGAGAGCTGCGACGCCTCGTGGAGATCTGCCTCAGTCCTCCGCTGTGCAGCCCAGCAGCTCCGACCGCAGGGTGATCCTGCCGTACCACGACCACGGGAGGATGCGGACGTGCCGGGCGTAGATCGGAGGGTCGATGACGTTCTTACGGTGTGTGTCGTTGTCAAAATTTCCCTGGAACACCTGAAGGGCACGTAACGAGAAGATATGAGACTGCGTGGCTTAAATAAGAGCTGTGGCGCACCCCTGATATCCCCGGGCACCTCTCTATGCTGAATTTTGATCATCCCGGCACCCAACTCATGCTGCAAAGAGCACCTGCCTTTGCTGAGACCTTGGGATTTCATTGCACGCCAGGGACCTTGGAGCCGGGTATAGGCATGGTATGCTTAGCCCCGGTGCACATTCAGCCTTCGATTCAAAGCTTGTTCTGCCAACACCCAGGGCCCTGCTCTAAATGTTACATAAAAAACATTAACGTTTAAAAAACTAAATGTCTTTTTACTTGGCATTTGTATCATGTCAAATTAATCCCAGGAGATCCTGTTAGCGTTTCCAACAAACTAACATTAATAATTAAAGTTAAGAAGAATTTTTATTGTATAACTTATGAATGCAGCTTGGGTGCAACTATATAAACCCTTGTTAATCTTCTGCCAAACAAAAGTCAGCATATGAGTTAAGGGCATTGGTTTGTGATCAAATTAAAAAATCCTAGCACAGTATAGTGCGGGTTACAGTGTTATTTCCACTAGTATGGGTTAACCAATACATAAGTGAGCTCCCAAACTTCTGTCTGTGTTAAAACAATGCTGGATTTTTCCCCTGGCAGCCACTATTTAAACTCAAAGGCCACGGCACCACTTTTTGGTAAAATGCTCGGATTATTCTCTTGGGATGTTTTTAGTTTTCAAGGGAAATGTTCATTCTCTTCAAATGTCAGCCAATTCACTTTTCATTTGTAAAAACTGAATTTGATGGCTTTTCCACTGCAAATGAATGAGTTTCGTTTGCATCAGGCTGAGAAGGAATATGGACCTCCTGAAGAAGTGATTATATGACTGAATTAGTACAGAATGGCAAGTTTCCTAGAAGTTCTTAAGACAAATGCCAGAGGTTGAATTCAGAAGAGGCTGATGTACTATTTTAGCCCTTAAGCTGGTTCTTTCGTGACATGTTTACAAAGCACTATATGAAAATCTTCACTTTTTGGCTCTATGCTGCACCTTTTCTTTGAATTTCAAAAGCTTCTCTCAAGTGCTATCAATTTGGCATCTTGAACAAAACATGTATCCTCCACAAGTGATGCTCTTTCACAAGTGATAAATTTCCCTTCTCGCCTGGCATCTCACTAATGCAGAGATGGGAGCATTAAAGCATCTAGGAGTTAAGACAGATGGGTAAAATTGCAGACAGACTGACCACAGAAACTACAGTGTTGTGAGTCTAAGGAAAAAAAATGTATTTAATACGGGAAAAATTGTTTGTCACCTAAGTACAGTGTTGATTACATAAATCAGCTGGAGCTTGGACTAACAAGATTGTGCCTGAATTTGTGTTTCATTTGTGGCAATATAGCATACAATAAAAGGCAGTAAGCTCATTATTAAAATTACAGAGTGGCATTCCCCAACGTGCAATATGAAGCTAGGAAGGCTTAAAAGTAAATTTTTTCCATTTGATTTCTTGTGCATGCATGCAATATATCTGTTGATATTTTTTACCAAGCCAGATGATAAGCCATGCAGGACTGCAGACAATTCTTACTGCAGAACTACTGGAAAATTCTTTTACTTTCAATTTTATTTTCCCTATGGAAGATGTATTTCAGAGATAACACTTAAATGAGGGCTTAGAACAAAAAATGTTGTTTACCAGAAGAACCTATCTACAGCTCCAGCACTCATATCAACGTATAGCTATGCAAAATAAATAAAATTATGTGATGCAAACCATGCAACAAATACAGCTGAAGAAGGCAGGATTATATCATTTATGTAGAGCAGGAAGACAAGAATTAAATTTTATTTCTAACTCATACATGATTTTATTAGCACTTGAAGTCAAACTCATCTGTTTCAGAGGTTAATTTATGCAAATCTGAAATTCACCTTCCCTCAAAATTCAAGATCTGGTTTCAAGAAATTAACTAAACGTGCTAGATCAGAAGATTTTAGGGAAGTAAATTTATCAGAAAGCGAGGGAATCTTTGTCAGCATCTGCAAATGTGACCTGCATGAAATATAACATTCTAAGAGCAAATTTACTGGATTTTTTTGCTGTGGACCCATGGCATGGGAAAAATATATTCTTTGTCACTCTTCATTTTACTTCAGCCTAAGTTCACTAATGGAGTCAAGAAACATTGAAAGAGTGGGGAGGACAAAGGACAAAAACAGTATATCTGACTTACCAGTACAATAAAGCTATGTCTGTAGCCAAAAGTAATTTTTTTTTAAAGTACTTTTTGCTTTATGCCAAAACAGTCAATACTAAATGAACCACCTAAGCAATTAAAAGCTCTTGAAGAGCTGGTATGCTCATACCATAAATGATCACTCCCACATTTGCTTCCAAGAAGTTTGTTTCAGTACACAACACCTCTGAAGACTGTAATGATTTATTAGCATTCAAGAAGCTGATGTTGGAGTTATAATACATAGCTCTATGTAATTTTTCAGATTAAAAAAATGCGCAATGACAATAAAATCCAAGCTAATTAGTGGTCAAGGAATAAAGAGCAGAGTGTAAGTTGTTAACGTGTCAGTGCATAAAGCCAGTGCATATCTTCATTTTGAGTTCTGGGTGGGTGCAGATCTGGCCCTGCCTTATCTCGAACAGCAAATATACACATTGAAGCAGCAAGATGGCCACAACCATGGAAGAATGTCCTTTTGCAAATTATTAAATGGACTAAGTCTCTTCAGCCTGAAAGGAGATATGATAGATGTCTATAAAATTGTAAGTGGCATGGAGAAAATCAATAGCGGGCAATATTGCACTGTCCCCTTACCAGAGCCACGAGGGAACAAGGAATGATAGCAGGTTTGTCCTGAGCCACCTAAAGGTCACGCTTCCCCGTACAACACATAATTAAACTGTGGCACAGCTTCCACAGCCTTTAAATACCGTTAAAGATCAGATAAATTGTTAGGGGCAAAATCAGCAGGGGCTATTAAACGTGCAGACAGAAGAAAGCTGGAGGCTGGAAAAGTACACTAGGGAAGAATACTAGCCCTGTGTTTTTTAATTCTCTAGTCATCTGCTACAGGATGCTCCCTCCCTTGGACAGAGCTTCAGCCTCCCCCAGCCCAGTGGCTCCCATGTTACAAGGTGCCTCTGTTGGGAAAAGTGGACTGAAGCTCCTGCTTTTCGTCAATCTTGTTGTGGAATGTTGAAGATTTTACAGTGGATATTATCTATTTATGTCAGTCTGCATGCTTCAAAGGTGTAACTTGCTAAAACATTTACTCAGCAGCTTCAGCAATTTTACACATACACGTCCCATACACATATGTGTAGCTCCCCTGTAGCTTAGTCTCTTACAGCTGCTATTAAAATAAAAAAGTAGAAAATATATGCTGTTGTACTTTTAAATATGATAACTTATTTTATGATCAGTTCATGAAAAAGAGAATGAAAACCTGGAAAATAGGTACTGATACTTTCTGCCAAAAAGATTTCTGAAATATAAACAAGTCTTGTTTATAACTGTGTCCAACAAGCAATTTGGATGTCTTGCCTTCAAATGTTCACTGACACTTTTCAACAGAACTGTTTTATGGCATAAGCAGCAAATCTGACTGACGACAATGTAAGTTGATTCATATTTTAAAAAGAAAACTATTGTATGTTTTATGACAGAATAATTTAGAAGAAAGATCTGAAGAATAGCAGCTTCGGAAAAGTGGAGTTTATTACAACTGATGATTGCTTTACTCCAAACATGGAGCTGGAAACCAGGTTTTAGGGCACATCCACAGGACTCATTAATAGGTGGCTGCAGCAGGTAAGATTTTTTGTGGTGCTGTGTCAATGGATGTGCATGGAGGATGAAAATTCAGGGAGTCTGATTCTCCACAGAGAATCTTTCTGGATCTCATGTCTCGTAGAAACTTAAATTACATGAAAAGTCTGCACTGGCCATAACTTTATTGGTTTCTGCTATTTATAATGGCTGAGAGTTAAGACTTTATTAGTCAAGCCTCAGATGGTGAAGTCACTATATTGTCTGCTGTACCTTAACCATATTTTTTATTCTGAGCGGCACACTTTAAACATGTTATTTCATGGAGCAATTAATCCTGCTTATATTAGAGGCAGATTATTTTAGAAGTATAGCTGGACCTAGCTTCTGTTTGGAGTTTGCTTGAATGCAGAACATCTCAGTGTTTGGACAAATAAAAGAGGCACTATTCATCTAAAATCCAAAAAGAAACTGTATGAAAAGTATTTTTTGACAGCCATATTCCTTTATTTGGGAAAAAAAATATTTCTTTATTACTATTCACTGAAGAAGACTTGCTTAAGCAAGAGAGAGAACGCGCAGATCTGAACAGCCCGTTTACTTGCTTTGAAGCTTTTTGCTCTTGGTGGAGTAACGTTTTCATCATGAAGAGTTACAAGTGAACAACACTAGGTAAAAGATGTCTTGATTTCTCACCAGAAGTAGAGCTACTGTTTACAGGCATACTTCATCCCTTGGAAGATGCTTTCTACTATAAAACACTGGGGAGGGTTTTTTTGAATATACATATGTAGACACATGTATGTGTGTGTGTGCACATGTGTTTTTGGAGTGATTAAGAGGAGAAAAAAGACATTCTTTCTTTTCAGTTGGTATACATAAAGTCTCTGGGTCTAAATTTTCCACTCTGATCTTAGCCATTTTCCTTTCTTCTTTACCGAGCACTTTTCCTGGGACTGGCTGATGAGTCAGCAGTTGATTGGCATGCAATGGGTAGCTATGCAAAAGAGTCCAGTGCCAGAAGAAAGACTGTTTTTTCCTCTCTCTGTGACACCTGAATAAGAATATGTATTACGGGAGCTTTATTATTTCTTCAAGTTCAGAATAGATACTAGGCAGATAAAACTTTTAAACTTGTGAAACAAACTATCACATTCTTGTTATTTTTTCTACTTGATCTATGTACTGATGCTACTAAAATGGGAATTTACTCAAC